GACAACCAAACTATTAAATTAAAATATGTCTTCATAATTGGTAGTCCAATTATGAGGAGAGTTGTTTAGAACATAAAATTCAAAAGCTCTAGTAGTGCTGAATGGGCCATACAATCTGCCTTCAAATTAAAAGAACAGGATATCAAAGCCAAAGTAAAGTGGAAGAAATAGCCGTACATCTCCATGAACTTATCAGAAAAGATGGAAAATGCGGGCCACTCCTCAGGATGTCGGACAATGTCCACAAAGTCAGAACAATCTGTCTCAAAGTCATGGCAATCAAGCTCTTGCTTCAAGATACATAACTTACATATTTTTCAAAAGTAGTAATTAAAAGTTTTTAAATTTGGTAATTAAAATAATACATATTTTCTGATAGTTCAATCACAAAAATTGGTAAGTATTTATTTAGGGAATATATGGTTTTGGTTAATTTCAAAGAAATAAAACAAAATATAATATAATTTAGTTATGGAAAAATTTTATATGTTATCATTTTTTAGCCATATCATATTTTTCAAGCCATGTAATAATTTTTTTTGGTAAAATTGATTGTGGAGGTGAGACATAATCACTTTACAAATATTGTCTAGGGGATTACAAAATAGGAATGAGACTATACTATATATTATCAATAGTGGTTATCTTGTTTAATTAATTAGTGAATAAAATAAAACATATCGGGTTTGGATTTGATTTCCTACCAAGCAGAACCAAACCGAACCAATCAGGTTGAAGGAAAACTTAACCGAATAGAGTGTGTCTAGGCTCTGGTTTAGGTAAAATCAGTTTGGATTCAGTTAAAATAAACATGCCTAATATTCAGAATTGCAATATTTCTTTGGTTTTTTAGTTGGAGTATATATTTTACCAATAGGAATAAAAAGTTATATATTAGTTGAACATATAGTTTCCATTTATTATGTTGATCGACTTTTAGAATATTGGGTTATTAATCATCTAGAGACATAAAACATGTAAAGATGGTTGAGAAATTTGCAAATGAACTAAAACAAAAATCAAGGTCCTGCATTTCTTATTCCGAAATCTGAACAAAATACTCGTGAAACAATTTGGTTCGAGTTCCATTTCCTATTGCTTAAGATTGTTCTTCCTAGCAAGCTTAGTCCATTCGGTGTGGTAGGCACCGGGACGATCGGTTCTCTCATAAGTATGAGCTCCAAAGAGATCTCTCTGCGCCTGGACTAGATTTGCCGGTAATCTAGAGCGCCTATAAGTGTCGAAATAAGCAAGACTCGCGCACATTCCAGGCGTGCTTATCCCTGTAGCAACAGCCAAACCCACCACTCTTCTCCAAGCGGCTTGTCTCTGAACCATCTCTTTAGCAAACTCAGGATCAACAACAAGGCTTGCCAAATCCGGGTTTCTCTGGTAAGCTTTCTTGATCCTATCCAAGAAAACCGCTCTTATGATACACCCGCCTTTCCAAATCCGAGCCAATTCACCGAAATTCAAGTTCCAGTTTTTCTCTACGCTCTTAGCTCTAAGAAGATTCATCCCTTGAGCATAACTACAGATCTTTGAAGCGTATAGAGCTTGTCTAACATCATCAACCAATCTCTTCTTATCGATCCCGCTCGATACAGAACCGATATCTTCTTTCAATCCAGCTTCTTTCAACACTTTTGAAGCATTTTCCCTCTCGTCTTTCAATCCGCTCAAGTACCGACAATCCAACGAAGCAGCAATCGTCGGAGCCGCCACAGAGAGCTCAGCCGCTTGCTGAACAGTCCATTTTCCGGTACCTTTCATGCCGGTTTTATCCAAAATCTTATCGACTAATTCTCCATCACCAAACTCATCCTTAACCCTAAATATATCCGAAGTAATCTCAACTAAGAAACTCTCAAGCTCACCTTTATTCCACTCCGTGAAGATCTCCGCAAGCTCCTCGTTGCTCAATCCACCAACGTTCTTCAACACATCGTAAGCTTCAGAAATCAATTGCATATCTCCATACTCAATCCCATTATGAACCATCTTCACGAAATTCCCAGATCCACCTTCTCCGATGTAAGTAACGCAAGGTCCATCTTCTACCTGAGCCGCGACTTTCCCCAATATGTCTTTGATGTTTTCATACGCCTGAAACGATCCTCCTGGCATTAGCGACGGACCGTTACGAGCTCCTTCTTCGCCGCCGGAGACTCCCATACCTAAATACAACAATCCTTTCTTCTCCGCTTCAGAGATCCGTCGCTCTGTGTTCTGATACCATTCGTTTCCACCGTCGATGATGCAATCTCCAGGCTCCATGTACTCGGAGAACGCATCGATTGTATGGTCAACGGGAGCTCCAGCTTTGACAAGGATAATAACGGATCTCGGTCGTTGGATCGAGAGGATGAAATCACGGGGAGAGTATTGGCCGGAGACTGGGAGTTTTCCTTCATCGTTGGCTCGATCTAGAGTTTCGTCGACTTTGGAAGTTGTTCGATTGTAGACTGAGATTGGGAAACCTTTATCGGCGATGTTTAAGGCGAGGTTCTGGCCCATGACGGCGAGACCGGCGAGGCCGATTCGAGATAAAGCGGCAGACTCCATTGGAGAGAAGCTTCTGAGTTTGTAGAGAGAGAAAGTAGAGTTGT